ATGATCACAAATTTATTTATTTTAGGCTGGGAAAGAGACTTAAACAATCAAGCGTCTATTTGCTTGAATTCTTTTAGTTGTAGGCGTGGGTATGAGTGTGGGCGTTGTGTTGTGTGTGTGAGAGAGAGAGACCTACCTGGGATCAGGTTTGAACCACCCCCACGATCGAGGATCATCGCCTTCCGAAATTACGAGGTGCCTGGCAGGTAGCAGGTAACATATCCTCCCCCTCCTTTTGTATAAAAAAATTCTCTGTGCGATGAAGGTGATATGATTAAAGGCTCAAGTGAAAGAGGAACCGAAGGATCCATAAACGTAATCATCATTAATTATTTATATTCCCAAACAAGAAGATAATCCTCTGACAAGCATAGTCCAGGAAAAGAAGCAATGAATACCTAGGTCACATCCGTTGAGTTTTGTAAAATTTCTATAAGCAATAATCTTTTGTAGTTACTGCTGTATAGACATAAATTCAGGACTACTAGCAGAAAGGAAATTTATATCAAGTCACAGCTACCCTAAAGGATGTACAAGTACTTTCTAAAGTTAGTAAAAATGAGTTAAATTATAAAGGTGAAAAATTATATCAACTTATATTCAATTTATCAAGTAACACATTTTATTTCAATTTAACCAGTTATAAAATACAGAATCCAAAACAGAGAGTAATATGTGGTATATATTAACAAGAATTGTTTGTTTTTTAATTTAAAATTTGAAAATGAAAATATATGCAGATTTTGAATATTTATTAATTCATGATTTAAAAATCAGAAAAATATATATTACCACGAAAAGAAAAGAGAAAAAAAGTTCAATTCGAACAATTTACTACAAATTAACATATATAAATAATTGTTTATTTCCTATAAATTAAAAAGAAGAAAACAACTAGGTCGATTTTTCAAAACAACCGACTGGAAGAGAATAAAAATTGCAAAAATTTAACTGTATACCTCAATTTGAATATGTTCAGTGAAAAAAATTTAACTTTAACTCAAAAGCAAGTGCATCCTACACGTGTATTTTTTTTTTTTTTGGAATATTAGAACTTTTACCTTGCTTATCAACTGAATCTGAAGTTTGTCATCTTCATTTATTCCTAGAAAACTTGGGAGTTCTGAAGCAAATATCTGAACTTCATCACATCCGTGCACTTGTAATTGTTTCAATGATGGCCATTCATTAATATGAATTTGAGGGATGAAGCCTTTCAGTTTGGGTAGCTTAGAAAGATTTATGTGTGTCAATTCTGGAAAGAGAAACATTGGGACAATTTCCACCAAATTAGTTGGCTGAGTGGTTATCTGAGCTTGTGGTTGGCTAGCACCAAATATCTCTTCTAGTGAATCACAATTCTGTATCTTCAGTGTGTCTAGCTTCTGGCGTACTCTTTCCAGCATACTAAATGGGAAAATGTTCAACAGGTTTTCACATGAATCCACGGTAAGAGAATTTAGTTGGGAACAAGAATTCACATCATGTTTGTCGTCCCATATCTTGGACCAATTCCCCATAAACTTGATTATCACCTGCTCTAATCTAGGGAGTTCCACCTAAAAATTTTATCTAATTGCATTAGTAACTATAATTCAGTTAGAATCAGAGAAAGGGAACTCATAAAAAGATTATAAAGTAATACATTTTTAGAATCTAATTTAAAATTTTAAAAGGTTTATAAGGTGAAACTGATTTTAAATAAAAAGAAAAAACACAGAAGATATCACCTTTTCATCAAAGAGGGATGGTGTATAAGTATTTTTCACATTTTCAGAACTGACGGCATTGTTTCCTATAAGGGTCTTCAACACAGCACACTTGCTTATGGTGAACCGTCTAAGCATGGAGAATTTAAATTTAGAGTAATTTCCATGACACAATCTCACAAGTTTGGGAAGGTCTTCAAGTTCTAGGGTGTCCAGTTTAGAGAAGAAACTCTCACACATCATTTCTTCTACTACTTCATTTGAGACGATTACCTGTTCCATCATCTTACAGTCACAAATCTTGAGCACCATGAGTTGCTTGAAACTCTTAACCATAGAAGACATGAACAGATATTTCAAATTGTCAATTGAAGACAAGCTTAAAAACTTCAACTTGGGAAACCCAACCTGCAGATAGATTTTAGTTGGAATAATAATTTTTTAGAACAATAAAAATTTTTTATGAGAACAATAAAATTTTTTTATGAGATTAAACTATTTCAAAAACAAAGGGACAAAATGACAAAGAAGAAATCACCTTCTCGTCAAAGAGAAATGGCGTGTCAGTATTTTCTGCATGATAGAATCTTGTGAGTTTGTAAAGATTTACGAGTTCTAGGGTGTGCAGTTCAGGGAAGGAAATTGTTTCTTCCTCTGATTCTTTTGAATCTATTACGGCTTCCATCATTTCACAATCACAAATCTTGAGCCATTTGAGTTGGTTGAAACTCATAACCATAGAGGAAGTTAATAGATATTTCACTTTGCCACAACCCTCCACAAACAACTTTTTTAAATTTTGTATAGGAAGAGAAATTTTTGAATTCTGTGTAGAAGAAGGGATTTTTGGAGTCGAAAGATCCCAGATTTGTTGAATGTTAATTGAAGACAATCTCAACAACTTCAACTTGGGAAATTCAACCTTCAAAGAGATTCTTAGTTAGAATAAGAATTTTAAGAATCTAATTTAAAAATACAAAATCTATGAGGTGTAACTAACTGAAAAATAAAGCGAAAAACAAAGAAAAAATTACCTTTTCATGAAAGAGAGATGTTGTAAAAGTATTTTCTACATTTTCAATACTGGCAGCAGGAAGGCACTCGCTTATTGTAGCGTTGGAGTTTGCAAGATAGAATCTTGTGAGTTTGGGAAGTTCTTCAAGTTCTAGAGTGTCCAGCTCAGGAAAGGAAATCTCGCACATCCTTTCTTCTACCTTTATTACCTCTTCCATCATCTTGCAGTCAGAAATCTTGAGCACCATGAGTTGTTTAAAACTCTTGACCATAGAGGAGGTCAATAGATACTCCAAATTACCACAACCCTCCACAAACAAGTTCTTTAAGTTTTCAAAAGACATGATTTGCTTACTCGAAATGTGCCAAATTTGCTTAGTGTTAATTGAAGACAGCCTCAAAAAGTCCAACTTGGGAAACTCGACCTGCAAAAAGATTTTTTAGTCTTTAAAGACAAAAGGACATTGTCAAAAGCTTGTTTTTGTCAGTTTTGATGAATGCCAATTGAAGATAACTCCAACAGCTCCAAGTTGGCAGACTCAGCCCAATATAATCTCCTTTCATACAAATTTTTATGCTTTGATTAATTAAACCAACAACAATGTAAGGATAATCTCAAAGCAAAAAAATGTGAAATAACATGCAGTTATTGTATGATATATGTAAATAAAAACTGATTTATTAACAACATTTGTTGATAACAATAGTAATTTTGTTATTTTTTAAATATTCTCTATCATTTAAAATTTTAAATAATAATAGCATGGAAAAGTATTTATTTATTAGACTCGTAAAAATTTTGGTAGAAAAAATGCCTAAAACTATTTATTTTTTTAAACTTTCCTTACAAAATCCTAAAATAAACATATCTTAGGAGTAATTTAATCTTTTCCTATGTGTTTTAGTGAAATAATATTGTTTAAATTTTTTTTGGGTTTATTTTTTTTAAAATACTTTCTATAAACATTAATTTATTATAATAGAAGAAATTCAACTTAGATTGATTGGGTTCGGTTCTAATTGAATTTAATCGGTTTTATGCCTATTATGGAACAAACTAAATCTATTGATCTAATTAATCCTCTGCATTGCTATATCGCAATGTAATTAAGTATGTTGATCTACTTTGCTCAGTGATGAAAACTACAAGAGACTAAGTTTAAGAGAAGAAATAGCATTATCCCCTTTTAATGAGGAACCAATATGATATAAATTATAAATGATAACGTTGAATGACCATTGATGAACTCATAGAAATAGTATAATGCAACAAATAAATCTAGAAAACTATTTATCAGTGTTCAAAATGGAAAGAAGATAATGACCATTCAACAAACTAAACCAAGTAATGCCACAAAACTAAGAACTACAAACCTAAAAAATAATGTATAATTCACAAATAAAATAGGAAAAATAAAATATTATGTGATTTAATTAAATTATTTTTTTAATTAGTTTGTTCCATCAAGGTTGATAAAAAAAAAAAAAAGTTTGGTTCCATCAACTGGAGCTAAAATTGGAAATTGAACCAATTATATTAATTTTGAAATTTTACAAAACTAATCCTTAATTTGTTTGTTTCAGAGTCGAATCAATTGGTTTGAATCTAATATTAAAAACCTTATTTTAGATTAATATTAGATCACTATTTCCTTTTCATCTTCAGCTTCTTTTCAAAGAAAGTTAGAATGCAATTTATTAAATTCATTTTGATTAATATAATAGATTTAACAAATTTGTCAAAATTTCTAGCCAAAGTGCAATCTCTCCCATCTGCGAAAGAATAAGGACAGATTTAAAGCCACAATGCAAGTTAAATGAGGAAAACTTACCTGTTCATTAAAGAGTGTTTGTGTGTTTGCAATGAATCCCTCCAATTTTGGGCAGTTCAACACTTGCAGTTTCCTCAATGATTTGAATTCAATACAATTTCCTGAGTAGAAATTGACAAGGTCTTCAAGGTCTTCTATCTGCAGAATGTTCAACTGAGGGAAAATCATCTTTTCTTCTACATTATTATCTTTTAAAATGACCTCTTTCATACTGCTGCATTTCCTTATTTCAAGGTGTTTCAGCATTTTCAGATCTCGAGCCATAGAAGATGAGAAAATGCATTTCAAATTATCACACCCCTTAATGATCAATTTCATCAGTTTACCAGCACTGAAAGATGCAACCTGCATGACACACAATGATAATTTCTTTTAATAAATGCTTCTCATTTTGTTGATTGAAAAAGAAAAGGACGGTCATGTTAAAATTTGTAGAGATTATATATGTCTAACTAGAATGCAAACAAGTTATGCAAAGGAGATGGCTTGGATGAGAACAAAAATGAAATAAAAGAAATTAATCAAACACCTGTTCTTGGAAAAGTGTCATTCTCTTGCAATTACAGTTGAAGGCAATCAACTTTGGTAGATCTTCTAATCTCAAGGAGCATAGTTCCTTCAAGACATCTTTTTCACCCCCTTGCTCGTCGTCATCAACAATCTCTTCCAAGTCGCTGCACTTTAGCACTCTAATTTCCTGGAGTTGGAGAAAATTTCGTCTGGCTATAGAGGAGGAGAACAAATTCTTTAGTTGATTACAAGATTCAACCGTTATCATTCTTAATTTGCTAAAAGATGATTCTTTAACCAAACCATGACATATCTTCTCCATTTGTTCCAAGTTATGTAGAACTAACACCTCCAGTACAGGAAATGCAGGCTTCATTGAGTTAATGCTATCTTGATCAGCATTCTGAGCATCATGCCTCATTGAGTTAATGATATGTTGAACATTCTGAGCATCTTGTATACAGAGATACTTCAATTCTTGAAAACCTTCCTCATCTAACTCATTGACAAAACTATTGACACCATTCAACCCCTGTAGATGTAGTTCCTCTGTCCTCTTTAGCAACTTCTTAAAGTGATGCTCAAAACTAATTTTTGCATCTAGCTTTAGCTTTAATATTTTTGAACTTCCATAGGAACTATCCCAGAAGTGCCACACATTTCCTTCATAAATCTTGTATCTTGCCAAATTTTCAGAGAACAAGTCTTCTTCCATCATCTGGATATTGCAAATATTAATTCGTACCTCTATTACTTTTAGGTTCGTTAATTGCTTCAACTCAGAAAGGCTAGCGATTTCTTTTGGCCGCTCCTTAACACCCTCCGCCCATTGATCGAAGCTATTTCTCATATATAGTTCTTCTAATCTGGGCAACCCTGACAAGACATTTGGTGGAATTACTTTGAGTTTGGTACAATCACTCAAATCTAACAACTTCAGCTTAGTTAGTTCCCTTATTTGCACTGGCAGCTCTTCGAGATCACATCCCACAAGGCTGAGGACCTGCAAATTCCTCAGTTTTCTTATAATTGTGCCCATGTCTACATCTCGCAACACACTTTGATCCAGACGCAAGGTAAGAAGTTTAATTGGAAGGGAAATTGACTGGGGCAGTGAGCAAGTTTTAGTCAAACCCAGTCCTGTGAGCCCTTCAGTTCCTGTAAACAAGTCTAGTGGAATTGGTTTAGAAGGATCCTCTTTAGACAAATGAAAGAAAATGAGCTGCGGACAGTTAAACTTATCTATTGGAAGCTCACTAGTATTTGATAAATGAACCCATTTGATGCTTTTCATTTCCTCCCAGTTGTTTAGTCCAACTTCTCTAAAAGCAATTGATTTGGCAAATATCATGAGAAGATCATGCATATCAAAATGCATATTGCCACCTCTATCCAGCAACAAAGAAGAATCTTTGAGTTTAGTCATTGAATTCAGTAATGCATCTCGAGCTTCCTCCACAGATTTGACTCCTGGGAATAAATCCAAGCCTATGGTATATTTCAACAAGTCTTGAATAGCTGCATTATGACCCATTAGACTACAAAGCAAGAAAGTTTGTTGGAGTTCGAAGCTTTTCAAACAATCATAACTTTTATAGAAAGATGAATGAAGGCTTCGTTGGCTTTGTAGCTCTTGTAGAATAGTCTTCCGCTTTAGTCTGCCACCTTTTAAGGCCATTGCAAGTGTTGCAATAGCAATGGGCAAACCATAACACTTCTTGCAAATCTCTCTTGCATAAAATGGCAAACGACGACTTTCAGTTCGGTAAGTAGCTATCTTCTCAAACAGCATCCATGCTTCTTTTTCTTCTAATGGTTTAATCTCAAACTGTATTTCAGATAAATCAAAAAGAACACGGCTATCTCTAGTAGTAGTCAGCAAAATTTTGTAAGATAATAACCTGTTCTCATTCTCATCTTCCAATGGAAGTTTTTCACGCAACTTCCAACATATTTCTGGCTCCCAAACATCGTCCAAAATCAAGAGGACCCTCTTTTCTGTTAGCTTTCTTTCCTTTCTTCGATTGGAAGCTTCCTGATATGTAAGTTCATTAGAAACACCCAAGTCACGTGCAATTTCATCTTGGATTCTGGGGTTCTGCTTCACAGATGCCATAACAACCGCATCAAATAACTTTTGTTCCTCCGCTATTCTCTTCACTGCTCTGACGAGCATGGTCTTCCCCGTACCAGACTCCCCGTGCACACTTATGGTGTTGATGCTAGGACATTGAGCTGCCTCCAAAATGCCGTCCAAAACATTCTTTGTCCACTCAAAGTACTCGAAACGATTAACTGCCCCATTCTGATCTCCTCGTGAGATGTCCTCAAGTAATCTACGAGCTTCTTGCACAAGTACACCAATATCCTCGCAATTCCAAGGAGAGTTGAAATTAGGACACAGCTTAAAGGAATACTTGTGCTTCACATGTCGTTCTCCAACATCAGGACTTATTAATTTTTTTGCCGAACCATTAATGAAATTCTTTGCTTTTCTCAACCAGTCGTTGAGGTCCTTCATTTTCTGGCTGTCACTGCTTCCATAAGGATTGTTGACATAGCGCTCCACACGCTCCTTCTCTTCTTCCAGGTCAGCAAGTTGTTGATAATGAATCTTGATTTTGGCCTGTTTCTTCTGAGACATGCTGGACCAAACGCCGTTGCAAAAATTTTGTCAGCAAAATGCCACAAATGGTACCCTTGCTTGTTTTGTTTCTTTCTTATGTTTCGTAGTTTTAACTTTTAGTGTTTTGAGAAATTTATACTAGTTGGTAAAACAAACTACCAAGAAAACAATCAATGGAGAAGGCAGTTCAGAGAATGGAAGCAAGGAACCTAGTTACATGAGAATAGAAAAGGCAAAATAGACAACTTTGGTCTCTGGAAGTGAAAACTGAGAAGAAAATAACAACAGGCATTGCTGCTTTCTGATTTAGAGATTACTTCGATTTTATGACTTCTGAAGATGGGAAAGAATCTACTAAAAAAATAACCAAAAGTACGAAGACACATTTCGATGTTTAATATAAATTAAGGTAAATTAAGATAGCTAATTATCCCTTATCCCCTTAATTTCAAAAGAGACTATTTGCGCTGGCAAATTGCCCGAGTGCAGGTTGCATTTGGTCCATGATGGGTCTGTTATAATTTTTATTTTTTTAACTAGCTAAAAAATAGAACTTAAAAATTAAGAGGACCAATAAGATGGGAAGTGCTTGTGTACTTGAGCTTCTACCGAGTACACATATATAGCATTCCTAATTTCAAAATATTTGAGGTTTTATTAAGCTTTTAAGTAAATTTTTTCCTTCTAATTGTGTCTTCTTTGATTCTCTTTCCTCAGCCAATTTTCTTTCTACTTTAGTTCACATGTTGCCCAATTTTTGACTTTATTCTATGTTACTTTTCTCCAACGAATTCTACTATTTCATCTATTATGGCTACTGTAACTTTCAAAATTTGCAAATCATTCTCAATCAAAATAATAATAATAATAATAATAATAGTCAATTTGACTTCAAAATTTTCTCCAATGGAATTCTACTATTTTATCTTTTATTTTTACACTGCTCAGTTGCTTCATCAATCTTGGCTAAATGTCTGGAATGGTGGGGACTAAGAACTGCTACAGCTAGTTATTGCTGGGACTCCTTTGTACAACATGAGGACTTATGTTTGACAGCAAAGGACCTTACTAATAATCTATTGATCTGAGTGCAAAGAGTTCAATTTTTTATTTTTTTTTTTTGATAAGTTAGAAGTTTTTTTTTTTCTTTAAGTAAAATTTTAAGTTCAAGTCTTGTAAATAGAGAGATAGATGTTAGGAGAGCTTCCCCTTATTTAATTCAACATGGCTTAACTCTGGATTAATAAGGTTCAAATTTAGCTTGTGAATATTGGAGGACTTAGTACCAAAGAAAACAGAAAAGAAAAGAAAAAAAAAAGGACAACAAAGGAACGTGTGAGATGGGTCGCTGTCTGGTATGCTTTGGTTTGGACAACTTGGAATACTAGAAATGAGAAAATATTTAAGAACGAAGCTGTAGACAAGAAAATGATTCTTGATCAAATAACGATGAGAGCCTTTCAGTGGATTAAGAACAAATGGAAGGTAAGACATTTCCATCCACCATATTGGATTATTAATCCTAGGTGTTGCTGTAGTTTTTAAAGGTATGAGCATGATGTTAGCCTATACCATTTCTAGGGATAGGGAGAAATTTTTGACATGAGCTAATAGTTTGTTACCTAGTATGTACATTGGTTCTGAGTACTTTTTGTACTCAATCAATAAAAATTCTTTTGCTTTTTGAAAAAAATAAACTAAGTTATTTGTGGTGAAATCAATGAAAGGAAGAAGTATAGTAAAAAAACAGTGAATTTTGGACATGCAATGTTATTAATGTAAATGAAAGTAGAAATTTACCTTAGCGTTGCACTTCTCCTCTTCTTTGTATTCTCGTACTTTGTGGTGGATGATTTTCTAGTTGAAAAATCCACAAACTATTTTAAAGAATGGACTGTGTTAGTTATGCAATTATGTTATTTTCCTTGCACATTTGTTTATGTAAGCTAGAATTTAAATAATGCACTGAATGAGCATCATAAAAGCATGTTGCATTTTTGAATCTGTGGTAAAGAGCTCCAAAAGTAACTTGAGGTTGCTTCTAAAGTTAATTGGGGTTGAAATAAGTAAAATACTTACGCTAATGGTTAGGGAAACAGCTCCTAAAGTTAGTTGTAGTTGAAATGACTCAAAGTTATTTGGGGTTGCTCCTCAAGTTAATTGGAGCTGGTGGTGATGATGGTAGCCACAAAATCCTAAGGTTGGTGAAATTCCTAAAAATTCCATGGAAACTTAATTAATATAGACAATAGTACAACAAATAGTGCAGTAGACATTGTAGAACATGAATCAATAGTCAAGCACACAAGGATAACATGCTAGAACTAATGAGACACTAGTTGAGGCTGAGCAAGTGGAAACCTTGAGTACCAAGCTAAACTAAAACAATTTCAAAAGTGGAATCCACTTGCTTCTATGGGAACTTATGAAACCACGAATGTTGATGAATGGGTGAAGGATTTGGAGCAAATTTTTCAAGGGATCAGAATCAAGGATCTTTACAAGGTTCATTTGGCTATTTTTATGCTAAGAGGTGAAGCTAGGAATTAGTCGCAACCTATTCAGGAAAGTTATGTGAAAAGAAGGGGAGGTTATAGCTTGGAAAAGTTTCATGAAAGAACTATATAAAACTTACTTTTCTCAGGCCACTCTCAAGAAAAAGGAAAAAGAGTTGAACATTTTAACACAGGGGGAGATGACAGTAGACAAGTACCAGCCTAAGTTTAGCGATTTGGTATATAGTTTGTTCCCAATATGGTGACCAATAAGCTAACCAAGGTGAGGTAGTTTATAAAGGGATTGGACACTTTTGTTGGAAGTCAAGTTGTAGGACATGAAGGGGCACATACTTTGCTGCTATGAAGACGACACAAATTATTGAGCTGTACCATGATACCAAGAAAGGGAATTCTAGTGAGCAAAAAGATAAGAGAAAAACTTTCAATATTTAGCCTCAAAACAAGAAATTTAAGAGAAAAGGAAAAAGAAAGGGATTTATCAACACTAAGGTAGAAGTGGGAAATTGCAAAGTATGTTACATAAAGCATGAAGGCAAAAATTGCAATTGGCATAAAAGGACTTGTTTTAAGTGTGGCAAAGTGGGTAACCTAGGCAAATTTTCCTGAACCGAACCCAGCGGAGAAAAAAAGAAGTTGTGAGAAGGGTGTTTGTCCTCACTAGAAAGAAACAAGAGAACCCGGTTGTGATCTAAGCTTGTTTCTCGATTGTGATCCAAGTAAACTCCCTATTTTAAATGGAGTTGCTAGCATCTTAATAGCCCTAGGTCAACTAATTCTTTTGTATCTCCCAGGTATGCTACATCTTTGCATGTTAAACCCATGAGTTTAGGTTATGAATTGAAAGCCCTCTTTGGAGCTATTTTATCCTCTTATACAATGTATAGAGGATGCTATGTTGTTAATGGGCAACTTACGCTAGCTGACAT